TGTTCAAGTTGATAAAGATGGTTTTACACTTGTTGACCTTTCAAGAAATGGCTATGTATCTGAGCCATTCGTTCTCGCAAAACATGTCACACAGGCTTTCTATATCAAAGACCCAAGCAAGAAAAAAGAGCACATCGTCTTACAAGGCAAACGACGTATTATTAGTGTTGATGATGTCGTTGACGAAGAAGAATACGACCACTTTGATGATCTACCACCATTTTCGGTTGGTATTGAACCCGGTAATTACGATAATATTGAATGCACAACATTTGTACGATCTAACATAGAAGGGACATATGTTGATTAAGTGCATGGATTGTTTTTTTTTTCTTTTTTGAATGTTGTTTTTACATGAATTTTGTATGAAATACTATCTATTGATAAATAATAACAATATTGCCCTTATCTTTTGATAATTATAATGTTTGTATAATTGTTATAAGAAATATCAAATAACATTTATAAGTATCAGTTAAGACTTTTTTTATCTGCGGTGTTTGATCACTTGTGATGGCATTTAATATTAGGCATTTAGTAAATAGGTAATCTACTTTTTTGGTGAAAACCGCCCTAATAAATAAACAAACCGCTTGAAAAAAACGAAAACCGCATCAAAAGATATACTTCTAGTTTTTACGTGGAAACCGCCCTAAAAAATAAAAGTAACCGCCTCAAAAGACAAAGACAACATCAAAAAAAATACAAAACCGCCTCAAAAAATACGTATAAAAAGAAGCTAAAAATAGCATCAAAAAATCGATAAACGCATAAAAACATATTGAGTTTTGATTGAGTAGTATTTTAGAAAAGATAATTATATATTGCTATTTTCTTTTTAGAAAAACTAAATTATTTAATTTAAAAAAACAACGAGTAATATTTTTTTAATTTTTACATTCAATTAATATACAAACTATTGGTAAAATGAAAAATATATATATATATATATATATATATATATATATATATATATATATATATATATATTATTGCTAAGTCCACGATGAGTAATGGGTGTGCGATCTGACTCGCCGAGTACACCTTGTGACATCTCTATTATGTCGATTACAGTCCATTCCAACACCTTCAACTCATAGATCTGGACTTCTAATGCCAACTTTGCATGTAAAGTTGCTAACTTTAGGTGCATGCAAGGTGTTATGAGGCTAGAACACTCAATCCAACTCTGGATCTGTAACGACCCAATTTTCAAGTCCAAAATTTTTATTTAATTAACTGACTCATAAAAATATTCTTAAGAAAATACTGTGAAATCACATCATCTCATAGACCGGATGCTAGGGGCTATTTCACCCCTACTAGTACCACATAGCATGTAACACATAACCATATTCTATCTAGTATGACTAGGTATGACCACCCCCTTTTGGCTTCTCTTTCCTCAAAAACGATTTAGCTCACTTAGGGTTTCTCTAAGGGACTAGTAGCCGCAATGAGAGGCTATGAGTGCCCTTAAATAGGTCCCTTGCAATGAGAGGCTATGAGTGCCCTTAAATAGACTCCTAAGATCCATCTAGCACGTAAAGTTACGAACTTTACATGCATGCATGGGACTATGAGCTCAAAAGACCCTAAAATGGCTCTTATGTCGCAAGGTACCTTCCATGGGTGCAAAAAGCAACTCCAATCTACCTTGTGACCCCTCCCAGTCCACATGGTCCACTCTCTGAGTCTATAGTATAATTGGTCCGCCCTCTTGGGCCTTCAGCCTATCCGGACCGCTCGCCGAGCCTTCGGTCTAACTAGTCCGCCTTAGGTATATTGGCCTACAGCACAAAGCAGGACCCGCCTCAACCCAACCCCAATCCAACAACCATGTGCACATAAACATGTAATCATATAACATCTCACAACTAATCAAAGTCCTTCTTGAGCCATTTCCAAGCTTGATTATGAATTAGGGTTTGTAATAAGCTGATTAACCTTTAGATCTAGGCATGGTTGAGCTCCAGGAGCTCGGATCTACTGCCTTTATGGAGCCATATTGCATGAAAGCCCTAGATGTACTCTGTTAGTGCATTTTGAGCCCTAAAACCTTCATTGTGTTTGTTTACACGTAAAGTTGGAAACTTTACGTGATAATCGAGCCCTAGGAACCCAGATCTATGTATGGCATGAGCTGGAATCAAGCAAAATCGAGCATATAGTATTTACATGCGAAAGACTCGGCGAGTCGTTCATCGGACTCGGCGAGTCGAGTACCCGATCGTAGTAGGGGGTGAAATACTCCCCAGTACCCGGTCGAGAGGACAAAAGGGGTAGGTCAGGCACCCAGATATGCCTGACAATATATGTAGGTTATGCGATTGTATGACATGTGGTATGTTGGGGGAACTCACTAAGCTTCGTGCTTATAGTTTTCAGTTTTGGTTTCAGGTACCTCTTCTTCGATGGGGAAGGAGCTGGCGCGGTAGCGGCACATCACACACATGCCTCGTATTCCGCACTATGAGATCTTCCTGGGGATTTATACTCTGACATTATTATGTTTTATAAAATGTTTTTCCAGACATGCGATATCTTTTATGAAATGATATGATCGGTGAACGTTGTATTTCTAATGTTTTGCTAAGTACATGTTTTAAAATGAAATTTTTGGCCCGTATTTTTTGGATGTTACACATATAGAGGCTTTTCAAGCCATGCAAGTACTCCAATCCATAGATCCACTCTTCTACAGCCTAACCCTCACATAAAGTTGCAAACTTTACGTGAAAAGCAAGGAGATATAAGCCCAAAACACTTCTAGGGATAGGGTTTAAGACAAAGGGCTTCACCAATGACTCTTAGACAGGAACTTTATGACCTTTTGGGCCATCACAAGTCTAGATCTGAAGTAGCAACTTCAGATCTAAGCCTCAAACTCGAGATAGCTCCCAAACAAGCTAATGAATCCCAAATCAACCACCATTCATGAATCAATAATGAAATAGCTTAAGGAGGAGGTTCCTTACCCCTGAAATGTGCCCAAACAGAAGTAGATTCCAGATCTACCCAAGCCCCTTGATGATGGCCTCCAAATCCCCAAGCTTCTTACACTAAGAACCCTAACCAGAATCGCGACATGACTCGCCGAGTCTATCCATCGACTCGCCGAGTCGACCTTCCTTATTTACACTAAGAACCTTGAACTTGCACCAAACTCGAATCCTTCAGTCTCCTCGTGAGTTACCTTCTATGCTCTTCTTTCTCCCTTGTGTTCAAAACCCATAAAAATCACTCAAAAGCCTTAGATCTTGCACCAAAACACTTAGGGTTTGCTATGGATGGTTTCTGGGAGCAATAGGGATGAGTGGTGGCTGAAAGAGACGATTAAATAGACTCGACGAGTTGACCCCCTTTTGACTTAGGGTTTCCTTTTCTTTCTTGGTCTTTCTGATTTTTGTTGTTACACGTAAACCCTAACCCCTGAACACTAAACCTTGAACCTTAAACCATAAACCCTAACCTTTAAACACTAAACCATAAACCCTAATCCCTATACCCAAACACTAAATCCTTAAACCCAAAACTCCAAATTAAATCCACAAACAGTAAATCGTATACAGTAAATCGAACATGACTATACACACCGACTCGAGGTGGGTTTTTGGAATTGATATTGAATTGGTTATCATTTCATGAATTTTAAAATTATAACTAATAATGTTCGAAAACTGAATTGACCTTGGGTTTTGATATTTCATTTGTTTCGAATAAAATACATTAAATATATGATTTTATGTTATTTTAAAAAGTTCAAATTTATTGGAAATTTTAGGATGTTACACCACTAAACACTAAGCAGCATGTTCGGTCTTAGGTAGACACTAAAGGCTAAACCATGCACCTTAAACATTAAAACATTGAAACTTAAACCATAATTTTTTAAATTTTGGAAGTATATATTATGTTTTTATTGTTTTTGTAATACTTATTTTTAGAATTATATATAATTAATTATGAGTCATAACTAAATATTAAATTGAATAATTTCTAAAAATAATTTTTATAAAACCAATATAATTGCTAAATAGTAATGACCGCATAAGAATTGCACCGCCTCATAAAAAACATCGCTCCACAATAGTTGCACCATAAAAATACCTAAATCCTTATTTATATTATTAATTTATGATTATGATTAAAAAAAAAAAAAAAAAAAAAAAAAAAACTTAAGAAAATCATCGCATTATAAAAAATAAATAAATAAAAAAAATATAAGGAAACCGCCTTATAAAATAGGAAGGAACCGCCTCAAAAAAGTGAACCCGCATTAAAAGAAAATCACCGCCTCATAAAATCATCCGCCCACAGTCAATACCTCAAGTTTAACCTCCTGTTGTTTTCTAAATTTTTCACTGCGCGCCATCTCGAAACCTCCATAGCGATTCGTAAACCCTTGCCGTCGCCGACGGAAATCCCGGTTTTAGTGGACGGCTAAGTTGACGCTGGGGCCTCCACAAGTCTCCGCGGTAAACCTCCACAGCTCTCGTATGAAACCTCCACAAGTCTCGGCCACATTTTTTGTTTTGAGTTGCTTTGTCGTTAAAGTATATTTACATTGATTTGTTGGTGGTGTATATATATTGCTTTGTTTTCAAAAGTTTATTCTTAAAAAGTGTTTGGAATCTTTTAGAATTGATCGTGACTTGTCTCGTGTCGTATAGCTTTAGAATTTTTAGAATCTGTAAAGTATTAATTTGTTGTTGTGAAAAAGTGTTATTACTTTACATTATAGTTTAGAATCTTTAGAATGCATAAACGTGTAATTGTCTCCTGGCTAATAAATGTAATACTTGGCCCCACATATATGGGGTCTACCAATTTATTGGATCGATCCTTCTTTTTCATTGGATTATGTTAGATTCTTGTTTTGTATTCATGGAATATACTATTGTATTGGATTATGTTTTTTGTTCTTATGTTATGTTTGTCTTCTATTATCCATGGATAAAAATATTTTTAATTTGTTTAATGTTGTTAGGCTTGTAAAAATGGAAAATGTACGACCAAAAAAAAGAGGTGAACGTGGTATTGCTGCATTTAAGTCAAAGATTTCTCCGGAAAAATATAAAGTGAAGTTTGATAAAAATAATATCCCAGACGATGGCATGCCAGCACAGTTTAGTTCTTGGTTTGGCATGAAGGTTCGACGCAGTTTTCCTATAGATATAGAGTCGCGTAAAGCTGGAGAAAAGTATTTTAAAGATTTATGGTTGGAAACTAAGGTATTTATATTTTAATTTATTGCAAATATAAATAACTTGTTAATTAATTATTATGTTTAACATATTTTGTTTTGAAATTGTAGAAACAGTGGAACATCGAGTCTAATGATCAGGAAAAATATTTGAAGAGGAAAGCTGTAAAACTTGCATCAAATTTTAAATCATTCCTTGTTTCAAATTTTGTGAATCAAGAATTGAATGCTTGTCTCAAATATGATTTTATAAAACCTGATGAATGGGAAAGATTTGTTGCACAAAAAACTACTCCTGGGTTTTTGGTATGTTTTAATTGTTTATTTATTTATTTATTTATTTATTTATTTATTTATTTATTATTATTATTATTATTATTATTATTATTATTATTATTATTATTAACAATTTGTTGATATGTGTGAAGGCAAGAAGTGCAAACGCTAAAGAAAGCAATGTGAAAAGGATATTCAATACACGTTTAGGTCGAAGTGGATGGAAGGGTCTTGAAAAAAAAAGGGATATTATATGGCCTCAACTTGTAGCCAAATACGAGTTTCTGGGTCGTATACAAAATGAGCGGTCTATGTTATATTTAATGGCTTTCGCATTAATTAACCCAGAAACAAATACGTACGATCTTCCCCAAGGGGCAATTAAAGATTTTCAATTTTTGGTAAACAATTATTTTTTTTCAATTTATATATGAAGATTTTGATTTTTCAGTAGATATATCTTTACAAGTATTTTTTTCTTCATAGGAACAAGAAGAGAAAAGAATGATAGCTGATGGGAGTTATTTCCAAAATAAGGAAGACCCATTAGTTAGACTTTTGGGACGCGAACACGGGGGCGATCACGGACAATATCTAATATCATTGGTCATACCCAGGTTTATGGTGGATTGTTCAAAAATGTGGAAAATAGTAGAACCACGAGACCGAGACAACAGGTTGACATGATCCCATCATTGCATGAATCTAGTGGTGCATCTGGTGGACGGTTGACAGAATACCCACCTATTAAGGTAATATATTTATAGTTTTCATATAAAAGATATATATATATATATATATATATATATATATATATATATATATATATATATGTATATTATAAGTTATGTTTTTTATATTATATTTACGAAAAAAGTTGTATGATTCACAGGTTAGGACAGAATGTGAATTGCTAGTGAATGTGGCTGATACTCAATTGATAGTAGCTAATGGTATTGCATGGCCAACATCTGAAACGGTCATACATTCACAACAAATAAGTACAGGTTGTGTGAAAGTACAGGTTGATGAAATCGTCAAAATATATGAGAACTTGCCTGTGCATGCCGTCACACGGACGGAAGAAGTTGAATATGTTAAACATCTTCTACATACCATCGTTCAGTGGCCGAGATATGCAATAAAGGTATATTTATATTTAAATATAAATATATATTTTAATATATGTTTATTTAAATATTACAAAATATTGTAGCTTGTGAACAAGACACCTAGCAAATCAAATAGTGGCACGAGAATGGGGTCGAATCGCGCCTCACCACACATACATGTTGATGACATCATGACGACTTCAGCTTATCGTCCACAAGTATTCAACCAATTCACTCTTATTTTTTGTTAATTTAGTATTATTTTCATAATATTATAACAATTTTTAATTTTTTTGTTATTTTAGTTTGAGGAAAACCACATTGCTTATCAACATGAAATTAATGAACATTTTCAAGGTGGTTTAGTTGATATGGTTAGTCTTAAAAAACTTGTTTTATGCTCATTTTTAGACATATTATGATTTTTTAGATGTTTTATGTTTGTATATAATCATATCTAATTACTAATGTTTTGTGTTTGTCTGTAGATGTTATCTATGAATCCACCACAAGTTCATTTAAATGCACCCGAACCCAGAGCCAGACCCGAACCCGAATCCGAATTTGAATCCGAACTCGAATCCGAATCCGAATCCGAATCCGAACCCGAACCCGAATCCGAATCCGAATCCGAACCCGAACCTGAATTCGTTACACATGATGAACTTGACTTGTTTACATCCTTGAGCAAATTACAAGAACAAAGACCTCAAATTCAATCTGTTGGTTTTCAAGTAGTAGAGTTTTTTGGGAATGCAAATGTTGTTAATATTTTTTCACCCAAAGGGATGTATCACCGTAGGGTTCAAATTACCATCCAGTATATCGAGGTATTACAACTATTTTTAAGAGATTGGCTTGATCAAAGCATTATTCATTGGTTTGCAATGTAAGTTATTATTATATTTTTTAATATGGTATTATAACTTTTTAGATATAATTAATTTTTACTAACATTCTGTAATATATATAGGCTTCTTTTTAGGTCGCCCAATTCTGAACGTGCTTTTTTTGATCCGCTTTGCATTGCACGCTTAGATACTAAAACAGACCTGTCGCCCGTCACTAAACATATCGAAGAAGTATTTTCGTATCATAAAAGCAAACGATATTTTCTTGCTCCATATTTACAGGGGTAATTTTTTTTTCTTTCCATAATACGTTCACATACATATACACACTACACTTATATAAATACACAGTACACATATATGCTTACTTGTTAAATAATTCTTATTTTTGCAGTATGCATTGGTTGCTTTTTATCCTATGTCCTGAAAGCAAATGTGGTTATATTCTTGATTATTTATGTGAAAAGAACCAAGAAAAGAAAAAAGACGCTTACCACTTTCCTTCTTTCATTGATAATGTTTTCCCGGGATGAGTTAATAAGTGGGAAACAGTAAAGGTATTTTTCTATTAATTTTTATCAATGTATTTCAAGTGGTTTGAAATAGTTATTGTGAATTAAATACAATGCTACAAACAAAAAGGTGGATGGGAATGTGGATTTATAGTAATAAAACATATGAAGGAGTTTGTTGAAACCATTCAACATGATTTTGAAAATAAAGTAAGTATTTTGTATAGATTTAAAATATCAATATTTTGTGTGTGTGTGTGTGTGTGTGTGTATATATATATATATATATATATATATATATATATATATATATATATATGTATATGTTGTTTGTTTGTTTGTTGTAGTTATGGAAAAAGAAGAGTTTTGTTACGCCCGTTAAACTTGAAGATATGGTCTCAGAAATAATATCTCGTTTAATTAAGATGGTGAACGATAGTCGGAAAAGAACTTTCTAAGAATTATAATGTTTTGTGTTTTATTATAACTAAAATGTAAATTAGAAATTGTTGGTTTTTTGTATAATGAAGTTTTGTTAAATACTATGTTTTTGTTTATTAATGATTTTTAAATGATATATTATTTTTTATAGTGCGGTTTTGTTTTTGTGCTATATATATATATATATATATATATATATATATATATATATATATATATATATATATATATATATATATATATATATATATTATTTAATAAGACGGTTTCTTATTTTTTGGCTCCATTATTTAATAGAGCGGTTTCCGATTTCTGGTGCGATTATTTAATAAGACGGTTGTTTATTTTTTGGTGCTAATATTTAATAGAGTGGTTCCTTATTTGTTGGTGCAATTAGTTAATAGGGCGGTTTTTGATTTTTTAGTGCTAATATTTAATAGAGCGGTTGCTGATTTTTTAATGCGGTTTGTTATTTTAATTTTGATATCTTATAAGGCGGTTTCTAGTGTTTTTTAATGCGGTTTGTAAACCGCATCATCAAATATACTATTTTTTAGTGCCATATTTTTTGGTGCGGTCAGAAAACCGCATCAACAAACTATATTAACCGCATTATCAAATCTCTTCTGTACTAGTGATGGTCCGTCGCCTAGTGTTAATAAGCCAGTCGTTTACCGCCGGATTGATTAACGACATGGTATTAAAAAATTTTGGAACACTAGTGGGCTATCAAGAGGTTTGTTGTGAGCCAGAATTAGTAATACTAGAGTATGAGCACTTATGAGTGTTGTACCTAATAGATAAACTTTGACAGCAATGGACTTCGTGTTGATTCCTTAGGTAAATCCTTAGGAACGAATGGATAAATGATAGTTGATTCTTAGGGTAAAACCTTAAGAAATAAAGAGGATAATGGGGATGAGTATTTGGGTTGATTGTTTGATAATTAAATATCATAAATGTATTATTATGGGTTGAAAACCCTATATGCTCACCAGACTCCCAAGTCTGACCCACTCAGTTTTCTTTGCATTACAGTTAATGGCACAAGAGTATAAGTTGGTGGACTTGACGAGAGATTTTGGATTATAGATCGGTAGTTATAAATAATTGTTGTAAGGTCTATTTTATATTGTTTATGCTTTTGGTTTGTATCGGAACATGACATCTCGGGATTTTATTATTTAATGAAAATACATTTCTTTAAAGAAATGCTTTGATAAATTCTTATCACATTTTGTTTTGGGAACAAATTCCGCAACTGTTTTCTTTAAAAGATTACTTTGATTTTTAAAACAAAGCATAAACAAATCGGTCTTTTCTGGCCGTGAAGTTGAGGATATCACAGATTTCATCTGAGATATGGGATATTTGGAGTTTCTTAGTCTCTATTGGGAAGGTCATCGAGTGTTACATAGTACGTTCCAAGAGCCAAGTGTGAAGTGCCTGGTGAAACAATCTGTGAGCGGACTGATGGCAAGCCATACTATTAGTGACTGATCCAATACTAGCAGGCAAGTTTACTAGCTCATACAATATGCACATATAGGCATCTCTTGTCTCATTTTATCATGTGAATCCATAGCAGATCCTTAGCCCTAGTCTAGCATGCTATTCACTGATTTAAAATTCAAAGCATAACACAAGAACATGTATGGGTATTTTGGGAAAACTTACTCGAGCTCGGTCGATTGCATGCACCACACCCGTTTATTTTATTAGAAAATTCTTTTATAAAACATTTCTTTTAATGAAAAATCTACCAAACCCTCAGTTTGAGTTCAGGCACCCCTGAAAGTATGCCTTAATCCCTCAAACCAAGGCTCTGATACCAACTTATAACATCCCAAAACTCAAAACCAAAATTTTTGTTTTTATATTGAATAGTTCGTCAACCAAACATGTTTTTCAAACCATAATGTACTCATTGTATATCAATAAACATTCCAAAGGTATATTAGAGTCGATAAAGCGGAAAATCATGGTGTTTGAAATGTGAGCATCCCGAGCTCTTCTCCTTTGAATCGAAAGTACCTGAAACATAAACTGAAAACTATAAGCACAAAGCTTAGTGAGTTCTCCAAAATACCTCATACCATACATACAATGGGCTTTGCTTGACAACCATCAAGCCTCGCCCGGAACAGATCTATCAGTAACATGAAATGGGCCCCGCCCAACACGCTCATCAGGCCCCGACTGGCATTGGGCCTCGTTCGATATACATACAACACATACAATGCATGTAAGAGTCACAACCATACTATAACATAATCTAATGGGCCGACATTGGTGCCTTCGACCTGCAAATAATGTGAGGAGAGTCACCTCGCACAAGGCATTTCCTTAATCTACCTATTAACAACTAAACAAAAGCTCGCAAGTCAAAAGTCAACCCTGAAGGTCAACGATCAAAGTCAAAAGTCAATGTTGACTCCCAGCCAAGGTTCTAAAAAACGCAAGGCGTGACTTGGCGGCAGGGTCAAAGTTAAGTTATGCCAAGCCTGGGCGAGCTATGATGTTTTTCAAGGCGTGACTATTTTATATACATTAAAAAAGATAAATAATATAATTATTGAATTGTATCAAATATATGAAGTTTTTAGAAGTGTTATATTAATATTTAATATAAAAAAGTTAACAAAAACTCAATTATTTTAGGCCCGACAAAAAAAATAGAAAAAAAAAACAAAAAAAAATCGAAAAAATCCGTGCCTTGAAAAAAACTCGCGCTATAACGCGATAAGGCACGCCTTGACACGTTATTTGGGCGCCAAACTTAACAAACCCGCCTTGGACGTTTTCGTAACGGCTACACCACGCCTTGCGACATGACACGCCTTGAGGCACGCCATGACGCGCTTTTTAGAACCATGCTCCCAGCCGACAAGACGTGGTGACCTAGGACCACTCTGTGGCAGCCGAGGTTCTAACAACTTAATGCATTAAGTTGTTTTCTTCGATTCCAAGAGTTCCAAATCTCAGATTTAGTCCAAACTGTGATCTAGAAGGGTAAAGTTTCTAACTTTATCCATTAGGACCACCCAAAAGGTCCAAAACCCAAATGTCTAAGTCCGAAAGTGCTTAACAATGCCAGAACCTAACCACTAAGCAATTATTCCATAAGGTCTGAAATCCATGATTTTCAGAAGTGATTCTAGCACCAAAACTAACCTAAAAGTTGGTGCTTTATAGAAATGCATGTCTTGCACCCATATTAGGTCAAATTGAGATTTTATTACCAAAATCATATGCATGGATTGAAAACCCAACCAAACTCTAGATCCAAGGCACAAACTACACCAAATGCCCCATAGATTCATAAAGTTGCAAACTTTAAGAGATCTTACCAACCCACCAAGCAAAAAAAGAAGTTAATGGGACAAAACTCAAGATCTAACAACCTAGCATGATGAAAACTGATTCTTGGACACTTATAAAGGTCCATATGAGTGCTAGGGTGAAGAATGGAGACTTGCTTGCTTGATCTTTGCTTCCTTCTTCCTCCTTCTTCCTTCTTTATCTTCAAGGAACACCAAAACTAGCTCAACAATGGAGGAAAGTGATTATGGGTTTCTTTAGGGCTTTAGGGGGGTTATGGAGGCTGAGGATAAGCAAACCGTAGCCTCCTCGTTCCTTTAAATAGGGAGCAAACCCGGAAAAATAGGGTTTTCACGTCATCCGTCCACCACGTTGTGACCAATACTGCCATGCCATGGTGGCTTAAATAAAACACGCGAATCTTTCTCGCCTCACCACGTCGTCGTGGTGCCTCCACCACGTCGTAACAATCCTCAAAATGATATTTCAATTACAAATAAAGTACCTCAATATTCGAGCATTATAATAAAATTTGGAAGTGAGTAGGACCGAAGTCCAAGTTAGAAGCCTTAAGGGTCACCGAGGAGTGATTTGAGTGCTCTCTAGGGAGTGCCAGAACAGTGGATATATGTTGAATCCCAATAAAATTTGAGCAAACAAGAAATCTGTCAATCTTGGTAAGTTTAAATCCATCTTCTCTAAGAAAAATGAATTTTCGTCCCCCTATCTGAAATTCACGAAGACCTGCATTTGCAATAAATTAGTGAAGTCGGCAGCCGAATACTTACAAAATCACAGGAGTTGCATTCTTAAGTGAGAGCAAATCTACTCATAAGGCCCTTCTATTGGTTATTGATTGTGGGGGATAGATGTTCACGACATTTGTTATACCAGGGAATCCTTTCCAACGACCTGCAATACGATGAAGTGTTTGGAGGAATAGACATTGATCTTGGTGAATAAGGACGAGTTCAAAATGCAAATTAGAACACCAGACCTTCCGATTGGGTTCACTGCTTCAAAAGCAAATTTGTTTGAGCCCTAACATCCAACTAGGTCTATACGATTGAAATCAGCCACCCGGGTTTCTTGAAGTCAAATAAATTCAATTTTTTGCATTGCTTGAGATTTCGTATCCAATCCACCTTGAGGGATTCACCAACACCCCTAATGTTTAGACTTAGGCTGTGGTTGGCGCGCCACAACTAGCTAATAAGCTAGCTTATTTTTTAAGCTTTTTTATGTTGTCGTGTTTGGTA